GCTCTGAATCCCGTTGTCCTCCCCGTCTGATCATCACAATGACCGGAGACGTAGATATGTACACGTGCTATCGCTATCCTACTGTGCTGTCCACACTGCTCATGTTCTCCGATCATTTGTTCCTTAACTCGTAGATGACACGGACCGTTGACAGTCGGTCAGCCCATCCATACTAAAGCACAAAAGAATTTGCATTTACACACTAGACTCAATACTCTCCCTCTCTCCCAGTCCTCCATCTTCTCACCCCGGTTAATTGATATAAAAACACATCTAATGTCCTCTGAAAGATATCACACACACTCATTCACCCACCCACCCACCACCACTCACAAACGAGTCACGTGTGCCCGGGACATGGAATTGTTCATCATTTTATCCTCTCTTTATTTCTCTTCCTCTTCAGTTCACAGAAGATGCATCTATATCGCATAGCAATCAGACAACTCTAACCCCAATTCGGGGTCATCGTCCAGATCGTTTGCACGTGTAGCTTGACCGAGTCACCCGGGGCTGATGAGGACGATGATGATGCCCCGGACTCATCTTTTAGTCACAGTCTACAAATCATTCCAATGTACAAGTCTGAAGTTTCCCGTAACAAACGAATGAATAGACTGACTCCGGTCTCCATTTGTCAGCAATTGGTCATCATGGCTACAGTTAGGAATGGACAAATTTAGTTCATCCAGGCTGATAAAATCCAATTGTTTCCACAGACGACATTTTTAGCGAAATGATGAATTGTGTTTGGTCAACGAAGTGCATTGACTGATTCATACACCCGTCCACACAGACATGCACAGACATACACATGCGCATATCAGTACTGTTTTAGTTCGTAAGAAAAAATAACACCATATTGGAGAGAAAGCATTGTTACACTGAGCGGAGAGTACATGGAGGTGCTGGTTCTAGCCAGTTAGTAATCTCTAGTGATGGGATTCAAAAAATCAGACTGTTTTGACAAATGGTAGTTTTTAGTGCATTTCATCGAATTGTTTCATGCATACCGGGCGTGATTATTTCCTAAGTTCCTTCAATAAAGCAATGAAAACTAAACCAATATGTGAGATCCGTGGTAGCTTATGCTATCAGTTTGTTTCGTAGTCAACCGTGCACTCATAAAATGTTAGTAACAGTAGTCAGACAAACATATGGTCTACCGTCTTCTATGCTATTATAAATAATAATCCTGAGTGATTTTCACGACTGACATATAGTTGAAGATCGTACACTTTCTCGCCTACCTTTGGTTGACAGCAAGCAGGCAGTTGCCCGCTCTCCACCTCGATGCCTTTCTCGCTTTTGGTCTTAGTTACCAGCGTTAAGATGTAGATCATCATGCCATCGGATTTGTCGGAAAGATAAGCGTGGTTTCATGAACTCAAGAACACACATGTATTCAGTGATTGTTTTGATTTTATTCCCATATTTCCAATACCTGTCACGATGCCCGCCTTTGGCGAATGGCTCATGTCTCTTGTTCCATTCCCCCCCCTAGAAATCTACATTACCTGTCTTCTCAGCTCAACTTTCCCCAACCCCCCTCCCCCTCCTCACATCCCTATCGATCTGCGCACTATGTAAAACCAGTTCTTCTGGCATCTAATGCACACGAGTCTTCTTCTGCTCGGTTCGGATTTTAATCTCTCCATCCACCCACCCACCCACCTTGATATGCGAACCGAAGAGATGAGGTGAATCTCTCGGTGACACGCTTCATTCAAAACTCGACATCACATAATGCAAACAGTTGCTGACGCTGTGTTCATGATGGTGGTTATTTCGAAATTCGGATCGCGTGCTGCTCCCAAGAGAGGCTAGTAACTAGCTGAGGTAACCCCCTGAACGCATGACGCATGATTTGGGGTGATAGACAAACGGGACAAGTGACTGACGGACGGATGGATGGAAATGACGGCACGAATGTATGAACGGATCCGATCAGCAGCAGCAGCAGCAGCAGTATGTAAGCATGCGCGCGCGCGCGCACGCACACACGCACGCACGCACACACGCACGCACGTGCATCAGTGCCTCTGCTCTCTGAGACAAACTGACGTGTTGTGTGTATGTATATTTGTGTGCGAGTGAGTGCTGGTGC